AGAGAGAGAGAGATAGAGAGAGAGAGAGAGAGACTATGCGAATACGTTTGCGTTGATATTTCCTATGCTATAAATTTTATTTCTGATAAATTGTTGGTTACAGTTATGGCATTGGATTGAGTGATGAGGCCGTCCTCACCGATGCACTAATATATCAAATCAAATATTTTTCTTTTGGTGTAATATTTGTGCGAAAGAAAGAAGAGAAATAATGGGTATTTAGTTTGGGTTTTGTTGATAGCATTTATTCTTCGATTAACTTTTCTGCAAAATATATACATTTTAATTGCAGAGAAAATCATTTTGTATACTATATTAAGTGTTGTTCAAGAAATAGAGCACTCCTTTTAATTATAATACTATGTCTTAATTATCTCTTATATCTTACACTTTGCTAACAATTCGCCAAAACATTAATTTCACTCGTTTTCAGATTTCTGCGCAAAATATTATAATTATATACAAATCCATACAATTGTCGCAAAAATTAATTCTCTAAATTGTTTTGCTTTAGTCCTAAGTTTGGGTTCAATTTATTTTCGGTTAAAATATGGTCTTATTTTAGAAACCAGTAATTATTTCATTTAAAATATTTGCTTAATTTATTTATCCATTTGTTTGCAACGATCGAGTTATTTTCCATTAGCTATTAAATTATAAATAAATATATTATAAATGATAACTTGTTTACAGACTCTGCAAAAGTCGAAACATTCATTAATTAACTAAAAATTATTTTCATAAAAGAAGATATGCTTAACATTAGGATATACTTTATTATTGCTGTATTACTTTATCAGTAGTGATAAAAATGTAATCAAAATCAAATCATACCCTAAAGAATAGTGTGTTATATGAGAACAATAGTAAACGGATTCATATCACAGAGAGTGAGCATTAAATTGCAAAACATATCAATACTAACACACATACGAGCGCTTCATTATATTTATTGCGAGGCTTTACGACAGTAGTTGTTATGGCTTTTAAATAATTTAAAACATGGTTTTAATCATTCATATAACACAGCCTCTCATCCCTATTGTGTTTTAGTCAAAATAGAGTTACAGAGAAAAAAAAACTCATGATATGTTTGCAAATATGTCTGTGATATACAGAATATGCCTTCAATTATTGTATAAAAAATTCTTATTACGTTAGTTTAGTATTTTAATTATGAATTCTCATGCAAACTGCTTATAAAATAAGATAACAAAGAATACAAATATATTTATAAATAAAACATTAATGTCATTGCAATTCATGAATGAATATACTGTATGTGCGAAATGTTGTGCCAAGAAATACATATGATATAATAAAATGAGAGCAATTCTTAGCATAATAATAAATTTGAAACAAGTATAACACTAATCGCATAATGCATTGTATTCTTTGTATTCATTAAAAACATTGCATACAATAAATCATTTCATGTAATTCTACCAGAATTTTATAAAAATAAGTAAGAAAGACAAAAATGTTATCCATTATAATTGCATGTCTATAGCAATTAGTGTGAAAAAATGAAACATTTTTATAATTATATTACAATACCGTATTGATATAAAGTTATAATGAACAAGATAATAATTTACAACATAAAACGATTTTTATACAAAATAGCCTTACTTTAATTGAAACTCAATTCAAGCAAATGGTATTACAGTTAATATATTTATACAAAAACTAATTGAAAAATATTCTCTCATTTATATGATTATATTTTTTATATAAATATATTTTCTAAAGTTAATAAAATCCATTATAAATAAGTTTCATTTACAGTACGAGTAGTTTGGCATAAAGTAGTTTATTTTAATGTGATTTTTATTTGCAAAATATTAATATAAAATCGTATTAATTAGAAATAAACTTAAGTTTGACCCAATTTTTCATACATTTATGAACTAATCATTAAATATATCACAGAATATAATATATATAATAATATAAATTAAATTCTTTGAATTTCAGTTAAACCGTTTTGTTTGACAGTTAATGGAAAGTTCAGTGAAAGTATTTACCATTTATATGAACAATAATACCTTCAATACATTCAATGAATTCAATTATACATTTGACCATAACTTGAATTCCTTTACAATAATCGTGTTATAAATCCAATGCAATGTGTGTTAAGTGCGCGCAAAATAATTATTAATTTCTAATAAATCACGACTTCGTTGTAATAATACAATAAAAAACAAACTCACAGTAAATTCAAAACTGAATTAAATTCAAATTACACAATGAATTCACTGGAAATCTTTATTGTCTTTACTGTCTTTACTGTCTTTATTATCTTTACTGTCTTTACAGAGACAAAGACTATGCCATCAAATAAGAAGCAAATGAAACAGCCCTACAAAATATTGACCGACATCTGGGGTGTCATCACTAAATGGGATTTCATCAAAGATCTCCAGAAGTATATCGACGATCATATGGAGACATATTTGACAAAACACTGGAACGACTCCGATATCAAAGAATTCACTGTTCGGTTGCGAGCGATGACTGCAAACGAAATGTTAGTCGAAAAAGAGTTGCCGCGGATTGAAGTGCAAAATGGAAACAATTCAAAAGCAGTGATTCAATCGATCGTCAAAAACATGAAATATAGAAAAGATCACGAATTGAAGACATTAGCGACGGAGACCTCACGACTGCATCAAAACATGTGGAACGACGGCTACAAAAGTAAAGCACTCAAAACCCACGCTTTCGACGATGTTTTGCCGGCATTTAAATTATGGACATCCGATGATCTGTGTATTAAGATCTATACGTTCGCCACCGGATCGCCAGACAACCAGAAACTGTTTCTCAGTTCATCCATTGGCGGCGATCTAAGCTATCATGTCATTAATGGCATCAATAATATGAACGCTTATAAAAGGGATGCCAACAGATTTCATCAGATCTTCTCAGCCCTTCAGGAAAGCGATCCGAAAAATATACTTTACTTAACCGACAGTCCAAAGAAGGCAAAGGCGGCGATCGAGTCGGGATTGAGAGCAGTCATTGTAATGAGACCCGGAAATAAAGACTATTCCAGTGAAGAACTCGATGGTCTCGTTGTTATCCATTCATTTAATGAGTTGCAGTTCTTGTAAATTGTATAACAAATTGTTGTCATTATATTCATTCATATTTGTTTGCGTGCATTTGTCAAAATTTTAAATTGAAATGATATTGTTTTCACTAAATTTTATTTATTATATCATTTCATTTCAAAGGAATTTACAAAATAAAATAAAATTGAAAAAATTGATTCAAATGTTTAATGGAGTGTAAAAAAAGTCCAAAAATGTTGCCTTAATTTCTGACATAAAAACTAATAGTTATTTAATTCAAGTAATATTTTGCGAGAATATTCTCCCAAATTCTTTAGTCAACACTCCATTCGTATAACAAAAGAGTAACTGTTATTATGTAAGACATCATTGAGGCCTGAAATCGAAATATTATCGACAAAAACATTTATATAATAACAGAGTTATAAATAAGAAAATATAGAAATAGTTTATACAATAGACATCTTTTTTGAACATTTTATATAAGAAAATGCAAACATTTCTTAAATATATGGACCATTGATAAGCACTCGGATTGGAAACAGTATTACTAACACCAACTCAACCCACCGCTCATCTCCAGCACACAATTAAATATATTTTACAAACAAATTAATTTATTAATTAATAATTATAGAAAACATTCAATATCTTCAAACAGTGTGAAAAACATATGATTTAACAAGAAAATCCAAATTGGTAGACTAACTGCTCTTTCCTCCAAAGTTAGACAACTTTCTTATGCTTAAAATTGTAACTAAAGTCTAGAAAGTATTAACTTATATTAATTGAGTCATTAGTTTGTGGGAAAATTGCTTCCAAACGAATATAATGATCAAATATAAATAATTAATACATAACCATTGAGCAATACTGCTTTATATATTTATATTTTTCTATAATGATCATCTTATATGAGGATATTGATGTATAAACACAAATTCAAAATAATTAATTTTTTAACACTGTAAATTATACGGTGCACTTATGCAACATTGACTTTTTACATTAAATTAAAAATTTTAATTAAACTTAATTTTAACATCAGTTTAAGTGACACTGAATTTGACAACTGGTTTGTCTGAATCAATACAAATATGAGAATTAGTTTTGTTTTTCAGGATCTCTTTTGTGTACATTTTATTACACTTTATTAAATAAATTCATAATATTTGAAAAAAGAGTTTTTGAGATGAAGATGAATCGCGAAAATATTGCAAAATTGTAAAAACAAATATTTAATTCTTTCAAATGAATAACACTTTTGCAGAATATTCTATAATTTAAATGCAAATTCTATTCATTTATAACAAATGAAGAGACTTTTGTAAAAAATAAAATTATTTTTTTATGTAGAATAATGAAAACACTAAAGCAAATAATTTTGTTGATTTATATAAGAATATATTGATTATAAAAATACAATCAAAAGACAAATTATTGTCATATGAAGAGCTCTCTATGCATTCAACACTCATTCAATTCATTTCTCTATTGGTTTACAAGAGTTATATATTTATTTATCAATTCATTCGATAGGCTTTCATATAAATAGGCTTTGCTCTCAATGAGAAAGAGAGAGAGAGAGAGAGAGAGAGAGAGAGCGTATAAAATTATAGACGATTGTGATTATAAGTGCCAAAAAGCGTTAAAGACATTGAGATCGTTGAGACAAAAGGCAAAGAATTACTACAAATAACATACAGAATATAATGTATACAATATATATGAGTATATAATTTACACATACATGTACATTGCATGTATAGGAATATTCTTAACATTAGATGACGAGTGCTCGGGTAAACATCTGCAGTGGGCGCCTTACANCTCAATCATAATAAATGACTATAATTTAGAAATTACTTAATGCTTGATATAAGGGATGAATTATTGTTTTGGCAGAATTAGTGCAATCATTGTTTGAAACTAAAGTGAATCAATAGCTGTTTGAGTGTTTCTTTCTTGCTTCAACTCAATGGTTAGCATTAATGATAACATGGGCTACAAAACTATAGATTGTATGGAATAGACAACTACTGTAATTCCATTTCATTTAATTTTCGCAAAAATACTACTTTTTGGGCAAATTGTAGATAATTTGTGAATAAAAAACACATGTTTAAGAATTTTCAAAGATATTCAACATTTATCACATAATTTATAATAATTATAAATATATTTAAATTAAACACATTTAAAAAGCTCTAAATAGAGAGATAGCTTTAAATATAGTTTATTTAATGAAAAATTATTGCAAAATAAAAACATCTAAATAATAAAAATAAGCATGATCAGCAATATTATTTTATGCTAAATTATTTGACATTGCTATTAATATTAGATATCAACCCATGGGGTATTATGTCAATTTCTTAGAGGGGGTGGGGTACTACCTAGGTAACACCCCATGCTATTTTGAAGTATACCCGAGTCAGGGACCCCTCATTTAACACCCCATGGGGCCTAAAGTGACAGATAACGGTATATTTAAATTAAACACATCTAAAAAGCTCTAAATAGAGAGATAGCTTTAAATATAGTTTATTTAATGAAAAATTATTGCAAAATAAAAACATCTAAATAATAAAAATAAGCATGATCAGCAATATTATTTTATGCTAAATTATTTGTATGATTAGATCACTGTTACTGTTGGCCATTATCCACATGTATATCATTACATAGACTTGAGTGCATTTGCAAGTCTTGCATCAAATGGTGCTGTTCTTCAGCGCTTAATGTAATGTCAGACGACTTTCTGTAGTCATTAATAACAAAACGGAGTAATTCAGTGAAAAACTTGGACTCGTATTGTTTTTCCGGATCGTATCGATCGAATTGATCCAAATTATCCTGAAGTTTAAGCGTCAAAGTGTCGTAATTGTTGCGAACAATTTCCAGCACTTGTTCTTCAGTTAACGAAGAGATCTGATGTAAGGAAGAGTAGGACTCGATTTTGGCGTTAAAATGATTTATAATGGCTTTGATGTTAACGAGTGAAGAGGAAAGCTTTGCGGCCGACTCTTTGTGCTCTGCCTTATCGTTTGACGCATACCGGAGCGCTTGTATCGACAAAAATACACATATGTTTGCGTCAATATAATAGTGATATATATCTATAGATTAGTTATATTGTGCTTTTAATCGATTACATACTCATTGAGTAGAGCTGCTCGAAGACTGAATGCATACGAATTATCTCATAATAGAGCTCATCGTAGGATTGAGGCGATGGTAGAAATGTGTCGCCAAAAGTTATAAACAGATTGAATATATTGACCACATTTAGAGCCAATGTGAATATATTACACCTCTTTAATAGCTCCGATTCGTTGGTCAAAATGAATTTCATTAACACAATCAAAGCGGTCCACAACTCCTTCCACGCGTAATCCACTCTGATTTTGCATTTCTTCTGATAACACAGCAAACGGTGAATCACTCCAATGCAGAGCAGATAGAGATCGAGTAACAGATTTTTTCGCGTATGAGTTAATATGAATTCTACCATTAAGTCCATCACTGTGTAAGACAGGGGTCGCGACAGTTTGCTCTGTGGACACACTTTTCTGTGTCTCATTTGCTAACAAACAACACAACAATTGCACTTAAAATATCATACCAATGGATATGTCAGTTACAAGACACTCACCATACGGTGCAACTGAACCGTAAACGGCATATTCATGTCATGCATGATAGCGTTGGCGCACTGGTCTTCGGTTATACACGTTAGGATTATAAAACATAGACGCGATGTCTGTAGTATCGCTTCGTCTGAGTATTTCATATGTTTTGCATTTCATTAGTTTACAAATTACTGTCAAATTAGTGTCAAAACAGACATACCTTTTGTGTAAAGCATAACAATAGAAGAAAACTCTAAAAAAGCCACCAATAGATTAGACGGTGGACTTTGCATTGATTCCAACGTGTCTTCAACAGTAATAATACAATTAGTTTTGAACAAAACCTTATTAGAAATGAGACAAACCTTTATTTATTTCATTTGAAGTTTCGGTGCTTTCGTTGGGAATACTATAAACTTCAGTCGAAGACTATTTGCGTAAAAATGGTTTTACAAAAACAAGAATAATAGGTGAAAGTGAATGGTTTACAGTTGTGAGAAGTGTAATGAAATTCCTATTGAGATGAACGGCTTCATAAAAGGCCAGTAAAACTGAATTATTGGTCTTCAAACTGTTTTTCGTGATTCCGTTGTCGTCCGCTATAAACATGTTTCCCACCTTTTAATACAAATAAGTTTACGTATTATTAATTGCATTTTACAAATACTGAATCACAAAAATCAATACCATATTTGATAATGCATTGAATATTCCACTTGATTTCGATTCATTATTAATTTCGTCAAAACGTTTATTAAAATCTAATAATTCATTTGATATGACACGAGAATAGCCCTAATTTAGAGACAGAAAATTGTTAGAAATATTCACAATTTAAATAAACTATTATTACATACATTTAATTGAATTTCGTCGTCAACTATTGATAGCTTCATAATATAAGGATTGGTCGACTTTTACACACAAAAAATTGTTCACAAATTAATCACCACTTCATTGGTTTGCAAATAAACAATAATTACTTCATATTTACGATAATTGAGAAGAATTGTTAACAACAGAATCATTTGGTATCCGTTTTGATGCCTTTGTTGGTGAAGATTAAGCACTTGTATTAACGCATCAAATAATTGGTCAGTTATTAAAAGCTCTATCAATGGATTTTTATTCACGTTTTCGTAAGCCTTTGAAACACAAATAGAAATGTCTTAAAATGTTAATCGTATCGAAAAATAGATGCAAACAAACCGTAACTAAAATTAAAAACAATTTAATGACTAATGTTTTTAAAAGTGTTGGTAAATCATTGATTAACAAATTACACAACGAGTCGATCAAAATCTGTTAAAAAATATTAATTTTATTAATTGACAACTAATTAATAGTAAATACCAAATGGTAATTGACATGAGACCTGAGTTTTGAGTTCAAGATCTTCTCGTCCGACCGTATAATCAATTAAATCAAACTTTGGATGACTTAAGCGCCACTTCTCTGACATTACTTTGAAAAGACTGCTCAGTGTCTGAACAACAAAAAAACATAATTAATACACATTTAGCCGCCGATTGGGAACCGATTCTTACGATAAGACTGTTGGCAACCCTTAGATTGTTGTCACTTTTGACAGCAATTATACTTTGACTGATCATTAGATTCACAATTGGCTTAATTGTGTGGATATTTGTAATGGACTTTAACTCCAACTCCAATGCATTTCCATTCGCCTAAACAATTAAATTCAATACAATTGTAATTAAAATACAAATTTAAACACATATTTGGCGTCAATTCACTCAAAACTTCTTCAATACCTTTAATAAGAAGAACTCATTCCAGAAGTTATTGTTTTCACTGAACGGCTCTTTTCCCTGCAATTCAATAATGAATTAAATTAAACAAAACTATAACTAAACTAATCATTAATGTCTTTGGGGATCAAATCATGTCATCAGTCAGTGAATCCATACCTCAATCAAAGCCTCATATATTTGGACCACTTTCTCCTTCAACGTCTTCCTCGACTGCAATAGTTTGGACATCTCGTGTCAATCACTTCAATGTCTTCTCAATAATTGTCTTAAATTAACCACCGATTGAATGACACCATTAAATGTCTCGTAAAGACTGTCAAAGACATTGAGAGACTGTAAACATGATTAGGAAAACAATAATAATATTTCCCATCAAAACAATGTGTGTTTTGTGTCTCACGAGTGGAGTAGAGGTCAATGCAGTCGACGTTTAAAAGGCATTCAAAAGTTTTTTCAATCATTTTTTCATTTCATTTTTCATTTGACATTTCATATGAGATTTCAATGCAATTGTGCGAAAGAAAAGCCAATCAAACAATTTATACGCTATAATCGGTTGCCTTTCGCTAATCCCGTGTTATTGTTATCTGAATAACATTTAAGCGAGAAATCAGTGAAAAAGCATTTAATAGTTTATCAGTGTTTTTGACAAAAACTAGCGTTACTTTTACGCGTGTATAGACTGTACGCATAGGCTTTGAGTGCTGGGGAAAGGCTTAGGCGAGACATCCGTTCACTCCATACAACTCATACACAACTCAAACATTAAAATCCAATTCATTTTCTATGCGATAATAACGTAAACATTAGGCGAAAAAAAGTTATGACATAACGTATAGAGACTGTAGTGGAGAGAGAAATGTAGACTCAATGGTGAAGTGAATGTGCAGTCAATTCATGTAATGATTAGATATAAAAGTGGGAAAACATTTCTGTTCACACATATTATGAGATGTATTGAAATGTATTGACTGATTGAATGCTGAATTCGCTATCAATTCATTTCATTTCATCGATTATTACGATTCGTATTCACATCTACACTAAGACATGCATCAAAACCATTGTCACCGCAACTGATCCGAGATTGTTGTCCAACACTTACGGCTGTCATCGTGTGAGCGATCGTTTCGGTCCAGTCTTGTAGTTAATGAGCAAACTTTTGGCACTCAAGAGATGGCCTCAAAGTGGACGCCAATCGCCGATCGGGACAAATATGGCATCGGTTTGTCTGATTTGCAATCACTTCCACTAATATTCTTCTTCTATAACTTTATTAGTCATTCTTTTCTATCACTCGTTGTCTTTATTGATGTACTAATGATTTGTTTTGATGTCTTCAATGGTATAGTTGTCTCAAACCTAAGGCATGATATAGTGCTTCCGCATAGACTTCATCTATCGATCGGCGATTCGGTTCGCGTTGTCGAAGAACACTATCACTGGTATTATGGGTATTGTCTTAACAGTCGGAACCGTTTGGGAATATTTCCCAAAAGTTATATCTTTACCAAAGAAGCCGTTATCGACAAAACCGGGTATTTATTGACCTTTTATTCGTCGTTATAATGAAGTTTAAACGATATACTTATGGATATATTATGTGTGAAGTGTCCACGAAGTGGTCATTCCTCGGGAGCCGCCTATTATACAGGAGATAACATCAGTGATAAGGGAATGGGGAGTGATTTGGAAGAAACTCTATGTCGTAAGCCATTGATATCTATGGATGATATGTCGTTCATATATTTAATACCCTATTGTTTTGCTCACTCGCGTTCAGACATCAAACCCTGACTTTAAGATAGTACGCGAAATGATGTATGAATTGATGACTTGGAGGAAACAGATTATGTCGGGAACACTACCGGCAGACGAGATGAAGGAATTAAAACAGAAAGTGACCGCAAAGATAGATCAGGGAAATGCGTAAGTCGTCCACCGATTAACACTCGAACGACAGGTTTTAATATGAATTGAATTGAACAGAATCTTAGGCTTGGATTTAGTGGTTCGCGACGATTCCGGCAATATTCTCAACCCTGAGATCACAAGTACTATAGACCTGTATAGGGCTCACGAATCGGCCACCGATCGGATCAAACAATTGGCGCTCAATATTGAATACAAGAACAAGAGGTCGTCCTCTCGTTATAACCATAATCTTTACGTTACGGTCAAGAACTTTGTCTGTCGTATCGGCGAAGACGCGGACCTTCTCATGACGTTATATGACGGCAAAGAATGCGCTTTTATTAGCGAAAACTATTTGGTTAAGTGGGGCAAAGAGGGACTGATGCGAGACTTGGATCAACTCAACAATCTTCGGGTGGTTTTTGCGGTAAATAATTGCTATTGGAATTTGTATATGTATTGTAACTAATGGCCAGAATTGCGATGAATAGGATCTCGGGAGCAAAGACTTGGCCCGAGAAAAGGTGTATTTGGTTTGTCAAACCATTCGTATCGGAGGAATGGAATTGAAAGAAGAGACACGAAATGTACGGAAGAGTCATCACCAGAATATGAAGAGGTCTTCGGATGGTCTGAGGCGTCCATTCGGTGTCGCAGGTACTGTGTGTTGCATTTGCTCTACAATTACTTTAAAACCTAACGCAATGTATATGTGATGACACCAGTGATGGACATAACGGACTTTTTTAACGGCAAGTTTGAAACGGACGAAGAGAAGCAGCATTTCATACCATTCGCTCAGTGCGGCGAAAGGGATTCGTTGGACGCCGTGATTCGGAAGATTATATCTGCGCGAGAGATCAGCCAAAAGGAGTGCAAAGGTCAGGGACTGTTCGTATCGATAAAACTACTCCACGGCGACCAAAAGCAGATACGCGAAGAATACGCTCATTTGGTCTCTCCGTTCACATCAGTTGCGCGCAAAATGGGTTTTCCGGAAGTGATACTTCCCGGGGATATCAGAAACGACTTGTATCTGACACTCGTTAGCGGAGAGTTCAGTAAAGGGAGCAAAAAGTCTGAACGCAATGTTGAAGTGACTGTCAAAGTATGCAACGAAAAGTCACAAACATTGCAAAATTGCTTGAGTTTTGGCGCCGGTTCTGAACCGATGAGCGAATATAGAAGCGTTGTCTACTATCACGAAGAGAGGCCCAAATGGATGGAAACTCTGAAGATATCGATTCCCATCGAGGAGTTCTATGGCGGACACTTGAAGTTCACATTCAGACACCGATCCTCTAATGATAATAAGGATAAATCGGAGAAACCGTTTGCCATGTCTTTCATACGACTAATGAACGAAAACGGGACCACAATGTCTGACCAGAATCACGAACTCTTAGTCTATAAAGTGGATCACAAGCGATACGACGAGACAGAAGTGGCGTATTTTAAACTCCCGTCCACTCGCGAAGAATTGGAACAGAGAGTCAATGATTCCAATTATAATATCAATCAAATCGGTGTCAAACAGTTGTCGAATATGTTTCAGACGAATGGCATTCAAATCAGTCCCAAAGACTCGTTCACTGTATCGACAGTCGTTTGTTCGACAAAATTGACACAAAATATCGATTTATTGGGTTTATTGAAGTGGAAGTTGAATCCCGAGAATCTTAAGTTCAATCTCTTGGCGCTCATGAAAGTGGACGGCGAGGAAGTGGTTAAGTTTCTTCAGGACACACTCGACGCTCTCTTTGATATTCTTATGCAAAA